GCTGGCAGCGGAGCTGGACCAGCGAGGCTACGCCGTCATTGCCTTGTGGACTGAGGATGTGGGGGAGAACCTCGGCCACCTACCACAAGCAGCGAAAGGATTTCCTGAGAAGTTCTTGGCCGAGGTCACGGAGCAGCCGACCTTGGCCTTGACAGCCCAGAAGCTTCGAGAGATTGCGCAGGCTGAGCCGCTGGCTGTGATGTGTGGGGGTGAGACGGGGGTGAAGTTGGCCGATGCTTTGTCCGAGCACATGGGCCTCCGCGGAAACACCACACAGAGAGGCATGGCCAATCGTCGCGACAAGCAAGTGCAGCAGGATGCAGTGAAGGCCGCAGGCATGAGATCAGTGCGCTCGGTTTGTGGAAAGGATTGGACGGAGGTGAAGGCATTTACAGAGACGGAGGCCTTTCCCATCATCGTGAAGCCCGTGGAATCTGCTGGTTCGGATGGGGTGAAGCTTTGCCACACACCCAGCGAGGCCAAGGACCACTTCCATTTGTTGATGAACTCTCAACGGAAGTGTGGCTCGCAGGGAGCTGCCGTCTTGCTGCAAGAGTATCTCAAGGGCAAGGAGTACATCGTTGATTGTGTCTCCCGTGGCTCACTTCTTCAGAATTGAACATTTTTGCACCTTACAACTTCAAAAGGCATTGGGATTTATGTAAGGAATAACTTGTTGACCAGGTTATGCCCTGGCTGTTCTGGACCTAAATGTGGTTGAACCGTGTCGAGCCACATGACTAGTGCGTGATCTATCCTGCGTCCTACGTACCTAGGAGCTCACCTTCTTACTGAATATAACCTACCTAATTGACCAAGGGTGAAGGCAACTTAGGCTGAAAAAGAACGAACAAAAAGAACGGCTCGCCCGGTGTGACCATGTGTCACTGCTCAGGTGACGGACACCACAAGACCACCTTGGTTTGGGTTTACGACCGTCGTCCTGCCAACGGCGCTGGCTTCGTGAACTTTGGACAGCACTGTGTCCCCAGTGACGACCCAGTGGCAGCACAGCTCATTGCCTATACGGTCGGCTGCCTGGATGCCCTTCGAATCACCAATGGCGCAACACATACCGAGGCCAGCGTTGTCGGGGTTGTTGTTTTTCCCCGAACAGTTTGCTGTTGGGGTTGTCAACGCTTTTAAGTGTGCCCGCCTTCTGTGGACTGCTGTGTGAGCCTCGCGGTGCCGACCTCTGGCTTGCAATCCTTTAGGTTTGCCTCCCAGCTCTGGACTGCTGTGTCTACATGTGTCTCCCAGCTCTGGACTGCCCAGCTCTGGGCTGATGTGTCTGAAAAGCACCAGCTCTTTGAGGTCTACTGTGGTGTAATTTGAAGATATGCTGTGGATTATTTTGGATTGCACCGAGAGTGGGGCGAGTCATGGCTTGGGACAAAGATGTGCAAACCGCCGATGTTCTTTCTGTTGCGTTGGTCTTTTTCTGTTGGTGGGAACCCTCAGGTAATGATGACGGAGACTGGCCCGTGCTTGGTGGAGGTCAACAGTCGTTGTCATGGTGCAGCAGGAGCATGGATGCCACTGGCACGTGCCCTGACAGGATATACACAGGCGGGACGTCGGCAGGCAGAATTGCATTTTCTGAGGGATCAAACACAGCCGAACTCACACACACACAGATACACACACATATTATGACATATGAGATATATATATATATATATACACCTGTATATATATATATATACACACGATACGAATATTGTCTTTGTATTCGTTCACATCTGACTTTTGCAGAAAGACAAAGCTCCTCTCATTTTTCGGTCTTCCTCTTCCTCTTCCTCATCCTGCGTTTCCCTGTGTCCAGTTCTTCAGTCAGTACATGCCAGGTGGATGCCTGTGTCGACGCCTTTTTGGATGGAGAGGCCTTTGATCGACTCCCAGATGTCCCGCTTGAATTCCTCGCATCAGGGCAAGTGTCAAGCTTGATCTCCTACCACGATGGCCATGTGGCATCGACGCAGTTTCACAAGGTTCGAGAGTTGCCATCGGTGGTCTTCCTGGAAGAACATTTGCATGCCGGCCATCGAGTAGAAAAAACCATCGACCTTTTCAGCCTCGTGGGCATGTGCGTCATGGTGCACTCCGACCCAGGAGTGCTGGCAAATGATGTCCAGGCCATCCGCCAGATGGAGAACAATGGCTCGTTGTTCGTCCTCTCTAACTGAGTGCAAAACACAGACCGACTCCGCTCTTTGGCGGGGGATTTTGACAGAACTCTTGGCACATTTGCAGGCCAACAGTTGGATTTAGATGGTCTGTCTGGGAATTTGTGCCAGTGTTCCTGCATTGATCCAAGATCATGTAACCACATTGACAGAAATCCAGCCATCCAACAAGAGTGATGGAATCTGCGGACAGGTTTGACATTTTGCTTCCATTTTGACAGTTAGCAAGCAGCCTGGAGGGTTTTAGACTTGCACCGTCTCCAGATGATACAGGTCATCCGGAGGTGGGTTCAGCTCAGCCTCGCGAGAAGCCCTGGTCACTTGAGATGGTTTTGTCCCACTATCTAGACATAGACTGCCAGATTAGTTCAAATGCGGTTGGCTCATTGTTTCGCCCAAGCGATGACCAGGCCAGTCTTTCATGCGAAGGTGTGAGAACTCTTGACTCTTGACGCTGTGCAAGGGCATGGCGAAAAGAAACAGGCTGATCACATGCACTTGTACAAGCTTTGGAATTATTGATAGGTTCTGCAGGTTTTGCTTGAGTGGGACCGCGCTGCTATGAGTGATAGCACCTCAGCACGGAAGTGGACGTCCCCGTTTGTAAAGACTTGTAAAGGAAGTAGTTTTCGCAGGGAGGGTGCGGATTACATTCCGGCAGCATTGCCATTGCGGGCTGTCGGAGATTGGGAGAACTCACTTTCTTCACGATCTGAGGATGCGTGGCGTGCTGATCGGGACGCAGCCACTCATGCTGGGTAGGGCTGGTGCTTACTTCGAGGCGCCGCTCTTCGATCACCAAGCTGAACTAAAGAAGGTATCCTGTTCTGTTGTGGGGCTGTGGCCTGCGAGGTCCCTCATTATGGTTTCATTACATGGTCCTTACCGTATCGATTTGGGCTCGATGCAGGTCACCTTGGATGAAGTGCGCCCGGGCGAGAGCCCCGATGGTCTCACCCTGGGCGTAACTGCCACGGCTCCGGATGCGCTGCCGCTGAACAACTCCCCGGCCACTGTCGAGCACATTCCAGAGACGTGAGGGGCCAAGTGTTGCTGAAGGTAGGAGGTTGTTTGTGCACGCCCAACAATACAAACTCTTACTCCAACATAGCCATGGCAGCTCTGACATAGTCGTATTTGGACCAAAGTCTGACCAGGGGTTGGAAGATTGCTTTCTTTATTGCCAGATGGGGTCATGTTTGCTATGTCAGCTGGATGCTATTCAGGTCACTTATATAGCGTATTTGTATGTATTTGTTCATTCCCTATTTTTGGGAATGCATTTCCTTGATCCTCAGATGGAGTCTGGGCTATGATGGGCAGATGTGGGACTGCAAGAGCACCTCGGCATCATGTAGGCCCTAGGCTGTTCCAGGCGCCAGTATGCACGGGCATCATGTGGCTCTCTCCTGTTTGTTTGCTTCTTCATCCACTCATGTGCCTTCCAGAGCTTTTGTGTTGTTGTGCCGCATCTTCCGAGGTGGCACGTTGACTCAAGTGGACTGGGACCCCAGGTCTCTCAGAGAAGGAGACTCTGTGGGGCTTCTGGTCACAGCGTCGGAGGGCGAGCTCATCATCTTCCGCAATGGCCACTTGGGACGACCACAACACAACACACAAAGTCTTTGGTTTGATGTGACAAGCCTCGGCATGGGAAATGAGAACTGGTTTCGGAACGCATGCCTGGGCTTTACTTGCTGTACTGTATCACAGTGAGCTGTGTGGACAGTAAGGACAAATCAAGCACAACTAAACGTCATCCTCAAAACCAGTACAGACTCAACTGCCGCAACATTGATGCCCTACGTGATGAGATTCTATGAGTTTTGATTTGATCGCGGCAGCTTCCATGTCGCCGATCGTGGCATCCCTGTGCCTATGGTGCTTTGAGGTACTGCGGTCTGCGCTGGACCGCGTGGCATCCCTGTCGCCTCGCGGGAGCTCTACCCGGTGGTGGATCTGTGGCGCGACGGGGAGACGCAGGGTGAGTGACTATATAATGACATCTAGATACTAGTTATATAGATGTTACTAGTTACTACTAGGCTTACTAGGCTATAGGTTTGTTATTTTTTTATAACTCCTTTTCTCCTGGCTCCCGCAAGTATGTTCATTGTGTCGGTGGGTGTGAGAAAATTTGATGATTTGAAGTTTGAAGATTGTTTTTTTGCTCCCTTCTTTTGCATGCATTTTGAGGGTAAGGATTCTTCGATTACCGCAGTTGTGTCCAGCCGGGCTTCGCACCCCTGTTGCCACTGGTGCATTCACACCAACATCCTGAGGGAGTCCCACTGCCACACCCAAGCACCCGGAAGCATGTAGTCAACCCCAAACATTATATAGACAAATAATGGCAAACAAGATTTAACAAAAACACACGCCGCTGCATTTCTGAATGGTTTTTTGGGACGTTTTCAGTTGGATTTCAGTACATGCTGATAAATGTTGATGAATTTGGAGTCAATTTGAGTCCATGAAGGCGGTTTCGACCTGTCTCGGATGTCATAACCAGAGTTTGTCACTGAGTGTAGTAAGGCTGGGCGCAGCTCGTGCGGTGCGCTGGATGCCTGAAGCCCTACCGCCCTGAGAAAACGTTAAAAAGAAGGCGATCTGGGAATATTAACACGTAGGAGCCGTGAACCTAACCAACCTGCAAACCTGGTTCTATGCCCGGTACCAGTGCTGAGCTTTTATGAGCACATGATGTGCATTCGAGTATGTGGGTGTCCTTTTTCTTGTGGTGACCAGGCTTGGCGATTTTGTCAGGAGTCTAACAGTCGGGCCAATGAGTGCCTTGAGTGACTTGTCGCCCAGGATCCCACCACTGCTGGACTCTTTCGGCTACCAGAAGGCGTGGTGGCAGCTAGCTACCAAACGCCAATTGGGCACCAATGGGCCAATGGGCGATTGATGCAGGCCACGAAGTTCATGGCTGGCCGATGCCAGTGGAGAACTTAGGATAGTAGGTGAATGCCGCAAGGCCAGCTCGGCAAAAGGCGAGTGCTTGGCCTGACCGCTGAGGTGGCTGTAGTTGATGGAGTGCTTTTGAAGGAGCCATGAGCGTTCCAGACAAACCTCATAAGGGTGTTGCAGCTGCAGAGTCCTCTTCATGGTGAGATGTTCCAATTCACGTTGGAGGAGGCCATTGCTATTAGGTTAGAGGCCATCGCTGGTAGGTTGGAAGCCATCGCTCTTAGGGAGGCCATCGCTTCAAGGTTGGATTCCATCCAATTATATAGGATGGAGGCCATTGCTTTAGTAGTTAGTGTCGTTGTTGTTCTCCAGGAGCCTCCACTGAAGGCCTTGGCCAACGGAGTCGCTTCCCACTTGGCCTGAAAGCTTGGTGACATGCGACTGACAGCGTGCCTGCCATGCGGGTGGGAAATAAAGCTGACCGAAGCAGCGCCGAGGAGATTATCGTTGGCGGCAACAAGCAGGAAAATGGCTTTCGCGCTGTATCAGAAGAGGTGCGAGCGAGTGCACGTGAGTGAGTGAGTGAGTGAGCGAGTGGGTGAGTGCAAGTGAGTGAGTGAGTGCGACTGAGTGAGTGCGAGTGGGTGAGTGAGTGAGTGAGTGAGGGAGTGAGGGAGTGAGGGAGTGAGCGAGTGAGCGAGTGAGCGAGTGAGCGAGTGAGTGAGAGAGTGAGAGAGGGAGAGAGGGAGAGAGGGAGAGGGAGAGAGTGAGAGTGAGTGCGTGCGTGCGTGCGTGCGTGCGTGAGAGAGAGAGAGAGAGAGCGAGCGAGGGAGAGAGAGAGAGAGAGAGTGAGAGAGTGTGAGAGAGTGAGCGAGTGAGAGGGAGGGAGGGGGGGAGGGAGGGTGAGTGAGAGAGTGAGAGTGAGAGTGTGAGTGTGAGTGTGAGCGAGTGTGAGAGTGAGAGTGATTGAGGTGTTTCTGAGGCTGCACGACTTGATTTGTGCGCCAGGAGCCGCACAGGGCCTGTGACGGAAGATGGGACCTCAGGGTCACATGGCCACACTACACAGCGAGTTCACTTTTCCATATTTCTTCTGGAAGCCAAATCCCGAAGAAGACTGCGTCCCATTGAAACCAAAGTCTAGAACATGAAACATCGCCGCAGGACATCCAAATTCTGAGCAGCAAAGGGCAGGTCAAAATCATGTCAAAGATGGCTAGCCACGGCCCATTGTTTTTTTTGATTGTTTTGCTTTGTGCTTTCTGTGGTGCTGTGGGTCTTTGGGTTGCATGGGGTCCACAGTACGAAACCCACCGCTTGGCACGAGTGCCTGGCCTTCACGGCGCTTGATGAGGTTGCGGCCGGTATGTCGCAGAGGATGAGCAGAGGGAGACCATGGTGGAGCGTTTCGCCAGCTCCTGATGCTGAGAAATTCTTGGGAGCTCTTCTATGATAATTCATTCATTATTCTATGAGGTCCTTGTCACTTTCTCACTAGGTTTTGGCTTGAGACACCCGCCCCTTTTCCTGGATCCTCAGGCATCACTAGAAGTCCTGGCTCAAGTTGCCCACATGCCCGTGACAGAGAGGGCGGCGACATCAGTGTCAGCCAAGACCCTGGCCACAAAGCTGGGATGTGATGTTCTTTTGGCGGCTGCGGCCTTGAAGGTTTGCCATGGCCATGCACCAACAGCAGCCAAGGTAATCGAAAATGGCCGAGCAAATCCGATGGCTCCCTATGAGTATGTTGACGGCCTGGCTCCTGGACCGTCGCATGGAGATTCTGTCTTTGAACACCCCTGGGTCCAGTCTCTTCTCCAGGCAGCACGTGGCCGCGTGAAACAGGCCTTGGACCAACAGCCAGGCCTCCAAGATGACAAATGGCTGATCTGCATTCGGACCTTTGGGCGAGCTGGTGCTCGATGTCAACAAAGTGAGCTTCATCGCTTTCTCTATGGAGTCTTGGACAGGCAGGCTGCAAGGATCATGGAAGAGAAACTGAAGGCTGCCGACCTCAGCTTATTTGATTTGAGATTGCTGGCAAAGAAGCCGCTGCACACGTTCCAAGATGCCTTGAGAGAGGCGGGGGTTGTGCGCTTGACCTCCAAGACAGCCAAGATATTGGCCGACAATATGTGCCAGCCGCTGGAGACGGTGGAGAAGAAACTTTACACTGCAGAAAAGGGTCTGCGAGAGTTGACCCTAGCAGCTTTGGAGCTTGCCCTAGGCCCTGAGGCGTACAAGCACTGTTTGATATTTGTGTCTCACACAGACAGTGCCTGGATCTCCGGCAATTATGCTGCTGCGCTAAGTGGTACTCCTTGGGCAGACAGGGTTGTGGTTGGGATTCGTGGGGCTCATCTCCAGGTGCGCTTCATAGAAGAGGCAGCTCCAAAGGGCAGTCACATCGTCATCATGGACGACAATATTGAACGCTTAGTGGTGGAAATCGCAGACGATTCAATCGTGGCCCAGCGAAAAGCAGCAGGGATCACGGACAACAGCACCTGGCCACTAAACTACAAGGATGGCTTGAGCCCCTTGAATGGCACGGGCTTGATCGCAGTGGAGGAGCCGGACCTTCTATGTTTCCTGCGTGGTCTTTGTCCAGAACTGGAAAAGATGAAGAAGATGACCAAAGTGCAAGAGACCCTGCGGAAAATTCAGGTCACCTGCCTCCAGGAGTTCAAAGACTTACCAGTCCAACGTGTGGATGCCGCACTTCAGGAAGCAGGTTTGTCGCAGAAGAAGCGAAGAAAATGCATTGAGGCGGCAAAAGACACAGCTTTCAAGCCGTTGCCACCCAGGCTACTCACAAAGCCAGCAAGAAAGGGATTGAAACTGCCAGGAGAAAAGCCGGAGCTATCCACAATGATTCGCCGTGCGGGAAATGAAATGAAGAAGCACGGCGTACATATTTGGGGTGTCAATCCCTCACGGAATCATTTCTATTTGAGGAATTATGGGGTGGAAGCCCGTCGCAGAGCTGTCTCAACTGGCATTTTCCGGGACTATTCCATGAGACTGGGCTTGGTTTATGGTGCGTGGTTTGGCATTCGTGTGCAGCACAATCCAAGATTGTACACGAGAGGTGGCCAAATCAAAGACGATGTGGAACGGACCCTGCGTTACTGGCACGCGGACAAGAGATTGCTGCGTTTTATGCGCTACGGGGCTGACAAAAGAAGCTTCAAACCTGGGCAATTCTCCATGAAGAAAGGCGGTATCTCTGCCACTTCGTCTCTAGAGAAGCACAGTGCTGAGGCACAAGCTGCAGTGACTTCTCTTGTCAATGAGTTTGGCGCTTATGTTCGGTTTCCCAAGGCGCATGAAAAGTCGTCTTGTGGCCTTGTTTGGTCCCAGCCTATAAAGAAGAGAAGAAAACCAATGGTGGACCCGCCAGAGTCCAAGAGATCCAAATTGGGATGTTGATGCACTCATCAGAGTTGCTGTTCAATGCTTTCAATGTCGCAGTGAAACTGCTGCCCTATATATATGTACATTATGTCTAATCAAGATCCATTCAATGATTGGGGTTCTTTGGAGTGTTGAAATTCAGTGCTACATGCACATGCGCATGGCAGCAAGCATCGGCTGGCAAAAATGCAGGGAGAAAAAGATCACATTGAAACACCTACGTACACAGCTTGTAAGCTACATCCCTGTGCACATGACATTGAGCAATGAGATGGGGTTGTGAAGCGAAACGGAGGGAGAGAGAGAGAGAGGTTGGAACAGCTTTCAGGCCTGGGAGATTGCTGGCTGTCCTGCTTTGCTTGGAGCCTCCTTCAAGGTCTGCCGTGGCTTTGTGGGTGCCCGGCAAGTTCCCGGTTGAGGGCATTCTGGGGTTCTTTCAGTCCCTTGGACTACTGTATGGCTGCACGCTACGGGAAAATCACTTCCTCGGAGAACGTGGCCATGTGGTGAAAATCAAGCGCTTTTTGCTGGTTGTATATCGGACAGGATGTCAAGGAGGTGATCGAGAAGAAAGTGATTCCAGTTCGTGGCTCAGAGGTCTTGAGCTAGAGAGGCAGGTTTGAAGCTTGAACACAACACTTGTGAGGCTTACGAGGAGGAACTTGGTGAAGGCCAGCAAGTGGACCATGGGAAGACTTCAATGACAACGACCTATTTGATGAGAGTTGTAAGATGTTGTAAGCAATCATTGGGAGTGACTACACCTGCCTCCTCCAGGTGACCACTTGAGTTCACTGCTTTTGGTGAGTTGAGTTCCTGTCATGCTGGTCTTGCACGCCAGGCAAGTCCAGCCCGCAGCTAATGAACGATGCCATCGCATCAGATTTCTCCTTCCTGGCCAAGGCAGAAACCAGCACGTGTAGGGATGGTAGGGCAAGAAGGTTCAGAAGCTACAAAAGCTAGGCTTAACTGGGAGGCTAGGTCTCATCAGGCCTCACAAGTCCGATTGACTAGCGGCTAGCTGCAAGTGGCTTTGCCCGGCTCCAGGTGCACCTGATTTCAAAGCGCTAGGATCCTGGCAGCGTCATTTGCTTCGTGCCTGCGTGGGGAACGAATGCAGCGTTCACTGCCCCAGGTCTTTCCATGTCAGGCTGCTGCCGGTCCCTGTATCGATACCAGTTCGATGGCTACAGGCAGGTGATGTGCTCCACCTGTGCCGTCCTTGAGATTGGTGAAACTCTATTGAGACTCTATCAAACTGTCAGACAGATAGGGTTGGAGATGGAGGCGGCAGAAGTTGACTGACATCACACAGCACGGATATCACACAGGCATCCTACCGTGCTGTACCCCACACATCCTACAGACATCCAACAACAGCCTTTTCATGCTCTTTCAGGAAGGAGAACTTTCAGTTTTCAAGTTGTGCAAGTGCCTCGACCATGAGTTCGTGTTTGTTCAGCCTCCAGGGGATGCGATGCCTTTCATGGATCCGAGCCAGTGTCCCAGAAGCTTCTTTTCAACGCTCACCTTCTAGCCTTCACAGGCCAATCAGGCCAATCTGCAGTCCTTTGCTTTGCTCGAAAGCAGCGTTGACGTTGCTTGCCCTGCTTTGCCGTTTTCACAGTTTTTGCACGCTAGCAACGCTAGGCTGTCCCTACTCCTGGGAGTGCCTGGTGATGGAGTTGCCGCTTGCCATAAACGACTCTCAGCCGGGAGAATCGTTTTGAACACGCAATGTGTGATGTGACTTCCAGAATATGTCCTTCGCGTCCCGAGTGGTTTTTGCTATGCCCATGCTAAAGCCCAGCTTTCAATTGTGGTGACGTATGATGACATACTCTTGTCCTTCATGGACAGGCGTTAGCGTGCTAAGATGCAGTGAGGTCAAAACAGACGGTGAACACTGAGGGGTGGTCTAATTGGGGTCGGGCCATCTATCTTGAAAGCAGGACTCCAGATTTGCAGCTCCAAGCACAGCCGTTCAACATCTTGAAAATGGTCTGACAATCCTGCATGTTTTTGTATCTGGAGGTCGTAGGGGAAGCGGAGCATGATGCAAAATCATGTCTTGGACTGACTCGTGTCAGTGTTGTCACAAATCCTCGGTATCCTTCGTGGCGTTGTGGAAGGACCAGAAGTGTCGTAGCTTTCACCAGTCTAAGCGCTCAAAGTCAAGGCGACCGGGCAGTGCCCCGTCTGATCCCCACAAGGCACCTCTTTAGACTGTACACTGTACAGACAATCTACTAATGTACATAATTATTTGTAGACATATGATTCGATCATATGTTGCATGCATGGATATGAATAACATTGCACCACAGACACAACAGCGCAGCGGATTTCTTTCAAGGTGGAGATTTTCCCAACAGCAGTCTTCGGCGTATTTTGTATTTCCGTACATGCAAGCGCCAAGCGGTGCCATTCCAGGATAGAAAAGGCAGCATGGAGGTGCGGCAAAAGCGGACTCGGCTGAAACGGCACTGTCGGCATGGCTGGCATGGCCAGGTCTTGGATTTGATGTCGATTATTCAGTTCAATGTTGGTCTCCAAAGGTGTTTGCACCCTGCAGCTGTTTTAACTGCTCCACTGCTCCAACACGCCCTGTTTTTTGCTTCCTTTGTGACGCCGGCCCCCAATGGTCTCTGTCGCGCCTCCGAGAGTTGCAGTGACTCAGCCGATCAAGTGCTACGCATTTTCCTTTGTTCAACAGGTGGGTGTTGTAGGTGTTGGAAGGCAGATGTTGAACGTATTTAAATATTCTTCAGCAACATTTGCTGGGCACTAGACTGCAAGCTAACTTCAGCCGGATGAATTTGATGATCTGAAGCCCTGCTCACGGTTAACGGATGCCCCTCAAAGCGGCCCACAGAGCTCGGAAGGTCAGCAGCCCGCAGACCGTGAAGATCTTCGCCGCTGGACAGCCAAGTCCACTGCGAAGTGCTGTTAGTGTGGCACACGAGGCGCTGTTCGGTGAGTCAAGGATGGTGCGTTTGTTTCATGATTGGCCAACCTCCACTCATCATCTCCGGAAAGCTCTCATCGCTGTTGCAGGTTCTTTTGCCCTGTGCCCGTGGGCTTTGCTCAGCTCCCGTCCGAGCAATCGCCTATTTGGGTGTAGCGCTGGGGCTTCGTCAAGCCAAGCGACGGCCCATGGCACGGAAGCAGCGTGGCAGCAGTGCGAAGACATTGGAGCAGAGAAGTCATCATTTATCGAGGGGCCACCAATAGACTCGAGAGATTCCCAGGCACATTATGAATGCAGAGAGCAATGCAATGGATAGATGGGTTCTTAGGCAGGTAGGTGAGTAGATAGATCGATAGATAGATGATAGATGGACGGATATGTAATCAGCCCTATGTTTGTTTCTTGTTGACTTGTTGCTGCTGAGCCTTCCTGGAGGAGAATAAAGACACCTAGTAGCGTCCTTGCTCCTAATTACAACTATATGATCCTGTACCGCCCGCCGTCCTCAAAGCAAGGATCAGCGGCAGTGCAACCCGTGGCCTGGCGAGTTCAAGGCTCTGGATTTGTATCATGGACGAGCCTACACGGATCCGCAATAGCGATGGCCTCCAACCTAATATATATATATAGCCTTGATTGCATCGGATCCGGAACATAGTCGGCCTCGTGGTCAGCGGATTTTCCCTTCTCAAACGATTTCGAGATTCACTCTTTGACCAAATCCTGACCCAAACCGCAGCATGTTTATTCGACTCGAGCTGCCTAGGTCATCCCAAGCCAGCCGGCAGGGTGCGGGGCAATCCCTTTCAAGCCGTTGGTCATCATTTGCGTAACGCCATGGTCGAGTTCTCCACTTGGCTCAATGGCTTGGTAACTTTGTCTTGGAGTTAGGCAGACGTGGCCTTGACTGCTTCACGACTCTACTTGACGTGCTTGGAGCTCTCAACATTTGGCTTTTGACTTGCCGCTTCCTATCACATCATCACACCCAAGCATGAAAGAGACTAAACAGTGCATAGTGCACGAAGATACTGGGACAACTGCAACAAAGTTAGCCCAGGGTTTACGCCTGGGCTTATTGTACATCAGTTATCGAAGAAACTCCAGAAACTTTGTGAAAAGTTGCATCGGTGGCAGCGATGGTAATAGCGTGGCTGTTCTTGCTTCAATTTGCAGCTGCCCTTGGCAGCCCGTGCGAAGAGAGTCTCATGGCAGATGTCTGGGGAAGGGAGGTGAGGATGGGCTGATCGAGTGGATCTTTTTTGCTATGGGTCATTACTTATTCCGTTTGATTCTTTTCGAGCAAATTTGCCCGCAAAGCCGGCATACGGGCTTTAATGCCGACCCCGAACAAAATCCCGTTTTGAAGGTCATTTCCATCTATATTGGGACCACAACATTTATCTTGAGCCCTGTGCATGTGACAGTTATATAGTTGCAATCAAAGGACAATGATGTGTCATGATACGGTTGGGTGCGCAATTCATGTGGTATGTGCCGGCTGCAATGTTTTCTCCATGGGTTTGGTCCTAGAATTTGAGACGCAAGACAGAATTGAAGGTAGGACATTTGCTTTGGGTCTTTGTTTGAAGATTGAGTGGGTCTGGCTGTGGTGCCCAACAATTGTCACTGAGTAGCCGGAGCAAAGGGCTAGGCTAGACTCTGAGGATATGGTGCATGGCTGACGGATCGAGATGAATTTCTGCGAACAGATGAGCCTAAATATCTTCAAGGCCTACATGTGGCCTGTTTCTGGCAGCAGGCCGGCCGAGCGCGCGGTGTGCCTGGGGCGTGTGGGGCACGACTTTGTTGTTCCACACGGAGCATCCAGACCCCAGGATCACAAGCTGCTCTTGGAAGCGCACATGAACGGCGTGCGGGAAGAGAAACCGCTCCAGGCGGAGTTCGAGTCCAAGGTGGGATGTCTTATGATGGCAGGGTGGAACTGGACCTATTGTTCAGGGAATCAAGGGTCAGTGACGGTCAGTGCCAGTCCCATGCTAGAAATTTGGGTGTGCGAAAGTGGCCCGAGTGAGTAGCATCGAGTAGCTGTCCTGTGGACATGGCGTTTGACCAGGCGCTCAACGAAGACTGGCGCAGTTTCAGAAAAGCCTTGCAGAGCAAAATGCGCTTCACAAAGGTGCCTATACATCCAATGGTGTCAAGCTACTTTTCTGATTCGGGGTGTGCTTGTTCTTCTGAGATGTGGATAGATCTGGTTTCTGGAGGCTACCAATGAGTGGGGCAACTTCCACTTGAAGCAGCCTTTTGGGATATTTGCGGAAAGTGGACACCGCCTGGGGTCATCTGCGGAGGTGAGCTTATCCTGTCGCACGATGAGCATTTTGTATGGAACATAGGTAGGCAAAAATACGTGCTTTAAGTAGATATATATATATATATATATACATGCCGTATTATGCCGTTGATTGCATGTCTTCAACTTGAGAGCGGCACGCTCACTTCATGGTGCACAGGGTGCTCGTGTAGGGGTCTTTCTTGCAACAGGTGCTGGCAGCGGGCCTTGTGCTGATCATGGAGGGCGGTCAATGGTTTTGGCCACCGGTACGTGTTGGCTACCTTCGCCGCTTGCAGGGCACTCCGTATCAGCCACTTGGCACGAAGGTATCCTCATTCAAGACCAACAAGTAGCAAGACTTTGATTGCACTGTGAAAACATTTATTGGACTAAGAGCTGTGCTGATCACAGAAGCAAGGGCCCTAGTTTGTGATCACAGTAACAACGTTTAAAGGTAACCTCATCTGAAAAATCCCATTGGATTCCACATGATTTCACTGATTAATTCTACCCACGACACTGTGCCTTAAGGTTGGACTCCCAGAGTAGACATGGGCATCGGGTGGATTCTTGGGGCTTGACACGCCAAACAAGTAAGGCAGACGATCAATTGGTGATCCCCAGATACTTCCAGGTAGAAATCAAGTCGGCTATGCAACTGAACTGCAGGCTTGAGACGCAGTCAGTGCAGCCTGTAGTCTTTCGAGTGCGCGGCTTCCTGCGTGAGGAGGCACGGTTTTTAAAGACAGGAGGAAATGAGGAAAGACCTGAGAAAAGGCTCGGGAAGTATGATGGCAATGCGCTTTGGCAGGGTCATGGGCATTCATGGCAGAACTATCCCAGGCTTTATTTTGCACCAGAGGCACCTCAGTGGCATTTTTTTGCCAATTAGCCTTTCTTCTTAGTCAGGAGTGCGAGGTTATCATCGCCATGGGGAAGTCCAACATGTCTGAGTCGCCAGTGGTGCCGATGGACATCCACAAACCAGACCTAGACGCCAAAGAGTATCGAACCAGCACCCAGGCCAGGATCAGCAGCTCTGAAAGCCCTTTGCTCTTTGGCAGAAGGGCTTTTGAAAAGTAGCGGAGGCCACTGGCAGAGCCCAGTGAGCTTGGCATCGGACTCAGTGAGCTTGACTCTCGTGGACCCGTGGACTATATATATATATATATGTATACACAGTACATACACATATACACACAGATAGAAAAATAATATATATATACACACGGGATGTATGTATATTCTTTAAAGCCTTTCTTGTGTAGCATGCAGAGGATACAGAAAGCAACCATGGGACCATGTGTGGCATTGGACTGAGGGAGAAAGCAACGCATGGGAATGCCAGAGAGCACCACCTCTGCTTAAGGCTACAGGAGCTGGACTTGCGCATTAGCAACCTGACCCGCGTGCCGGTGTCCCACAACGAAGAGGTTCAGGCCCATCACTGCAGTTAACACTCATGGGTGTGAAAGCTGAAAACACTACCGCTTCGTGAGCCCAAGAGTTTGTTTTTCTTTTTTGGAGTGCCGGAGCCACCCCACCGGCGGAAGCAGAGACTTGGACCACGCATTTTGGGAGGTTAGTACTCCTGATCTAATATGATATGATATGCTATATAATACTCCAGTTGCACCGTTGTGATTGGATTCCAAGTGTTGACGGAACCGATACTGTTTCTGAGATGCAGGTCTTGAGATACCGCCTTGGTGAGTTCTATGCGGCGCACAACGACAACTTTGACCCAGAGTTCTACCAAACCAGCGTAGATTCTGAGAACAAAGATGCTGAGAGGAGTCCTTTTCTTGATATGAGCTCCGCTATGTGCAGTGTGAATCGCCGAGTGTTGCCCGCGCTGAGGATTACATTGACAAAGGCCACCGAAACCGGCTCCTAACGGTCTTTTGGTACTTGACCAATGTTGAGAAGGGCGGGGAGACCAATTTCCCACGTGCGAACGCCTTGCCGCAGCCACAGGAGAAGCATGGAGAAGCATTCTCAGCAATGGATACTTCTAAACTCGACAGTGATCAGCAAACGAAGTCTGACACCTGATTTTCCGCAAACCTGAAAGGTCGTAGCGCAACTAACTGTACTCAAGGGCCCTCGTGAGATAAATGGCCATCGAAAGAAATCAAATGTATGCATGCTTCATGCGCAAGTGTGAACTGAAGTCAGACCGGT